TGCATCCCATGGATTGCCTCGGGCCACATTCACAGCATTTCCGCAGGGCCAGTGGGATTACCATCCCCCTATTATAGGCATGGAAATATGGTACAAAGGGATTAAACAGACAGCAGCCCAGAGGAGTGGAGTGACCCGCCCCAGGTGCAACAGCAAAGATGTAACAGAGCCAGAATTTAAACCAGAGCTGTCTTATCTCCAGAGCCCAGGCCTGAACCAGAAGGCACGGGGCTCTGAAACCTTCTTGCACGACCCACTCAGTGCAAAAGATCCCACCGCTCTTGGACCCACTGTTCTCACTTTCCAGGGGAGAAAGCACTCAGTGACAACAAACAGAACTGGGGAGAAACAAAATAACAATCAAAGTGGCAAAAATGCCAAAATAAACATGGTTCAGCTCATGGCAAAAGCAAAACTTAATAGTGAACCTACAAATACTTCGATTAATACAAGCAGAGCAGCAATCGAAAACCGCAGAGAGTGCAGGATAATGCTGATGAGCTCCTGATTAGAAAGTCCTATGGTTTAAGTGTTCAGGATTTCTAGCTCTTTTCATGGGCATGTGCACAGTAGGAGTTTTGCAAGGTTGCTAAGCAACGTCTGGCAACCAGACTCCAGAGTGGATCACTCATTATGAGTCCTTGGTAACTCTAGTAAGGCAGTAATTTTAGTTCATGAAAGACAAATTTTAGAAACCCTTAATAACTCATATAATAGGTTACTAATAAGTGGCCCTTAGCGATACATAAAACATGCAGATCTATAACTGCCCAGCTTTCACTTGTAAGAACTAAAGACTCGTACTTTTGAGATTCATCATTAATTTATTCAACACATACTTGTTGAAAACGTACTATGTGCCAGGCGCTGTTCTATGCTATGGGGAAGAAAGACCCTGACAGTTCACCAGTGAACTACAGACTATACACAAAAAAAACACAGACTATACTAGAATTCTACTTGTAGGAAAATGAGGCCCAGAGAGGTAAAGCAATCAGTTCAGTGTTGCTCAGCACACTGGAGGCGGATATGTTCAGCTGCTCACATCCAGGCCAGTAGGCTCCGCAGGAGAACACTGCTTCCCGGAAAGGCCACGTCCCCATGGTTGGTCAAGAGAGGCCCCATGATCCACCAGCTTGCCCCCGGTCCGCTGAGCTAGCCCCGAGGGCTGGGAGTACCAGGATGCAGGGCTTGGTTGTTGAACATCTTGGAAAGTCTCCCACTTGACCTCAGGACCTCTGTGGTCAAGTAAGGGAAAGCCTATGACACGGTGTTGGTTTTTACTGGACCCAACCACCGGCGAAGCTTGCCGTCATCTGGAGTGATGGAGAAAATTAAGTTACCACATTCTCACGTTTCAGCCTTTAGCCCGTATTCCTTCGCAAACAGGAAATGTTTATTTAAATACAGCAGTCTCCAGCATGTTCCAGAGCCAAGTGGAAAACCAAAGATGTCCGCTCTTGCCCCGCTCCACTGTTCAGGCCACCACCTCGCTGTGGGTGAGAAGTAGGCCTCTGCCTGCCTTTAGGCAGGACGAGGCAAAGGGGCCCTGCGTGAGAGTTCATTTTCATCTGTCTCCTCTTTTTCCAGGCCGAGATTGTGGTTGGAGAAGAATTACATCTGTGGGCTCCTTTTGTACTCAGAAGGGTAAACGCAACATCTGTTTACTCTGTGCTCCATGGTAAATGTTTTGTTCCAGGCACCACCATTCACTTCCTCTCCCCTTGTCCTCTATCTATCGGATAATAAATTACACTGAATTCTCCTCTGCGTTTATTTAGCTTTCTTGTGGGTGTCACTTCCCCATTGAGGGGAAAAAAAAAAAAATGTCGGTAGTTTATAAACAACAGAGAGTTTCTCTGTGTGATGTGCTGACATTATGGAGAATATGCTGGAACACAGACCCCTAGCTCTGATACCAGCTTAATTATGAACAATTTAACAGGCCCCATTCCAGGCCTGAAGCAAAGTCCAAATGGTGACCACATTATCCCATTATCCTCATGGACGTTTGCTCTAATGGCGTGCCATGGGTGGACAAGGCCTCACAAGTCAACACTACCAGAGCAACAAACCCTCCCTCCCCACACATACACACCTCTTCATAAAAGCCTCTCTGGGAGACAGAACAGCAGGAACAGAGAAGGGAGAAAATGTTTCCTCTTTGTTATAAAACACAACATAAACATGAGAGATCAGAAAATGGATCTTAGGAAGGTCCTGAGCATCTGACAGCAGTGCTGACAAAACTTAGCCACATGAAAAAAATGAGCCCTGAGAAGTTTAAAGGCTCACTAAAGGCAAGTTCCTTCTTCCGTCGTTTGCTTACATTCTTTAAGTTGGATTGCTGGTTTTCTTCTGTATATGCCATGATTTTATACACAGTTACTGGAATGCAGTGGACGCTCAAGTCATGTTTGCTGAATGAATGAAGGGAGGAATGAATGAAAAATTCCTCCCTAAAGAAATCCTTAGCATAGCTCAGAAATGCCACCGCCCCACAAGAGTTTGCAAAATTGTAATGTTACAGGTGAGTTGACTGAGACAGGGTGTGGGGTGATGAAGGAGCATTGGGACTCTTGGGAGGCTGCACCTAATCCCTGCAGTAACCCTGACCCAGCCTGCTTGTAAAGGCTGCCCCCTCTCCCGGGGAGGGAGGAGACTAGAATAAGAAGCCAGCCGCATCACCCCAACGCACCCCAACCAAAAAGACATCAGTGACCAGAACAAAGGCAGAGGAGACTCAGATATTCCAAAGCACCTCCTACTTTGCCAATGCCTGCCGGTGGCCATGGCAGCAGGCGGCCCATGGGAACGCCCAGGACTCCAGTCTCTACCCAGTCTCTTCAATTATAGAGCAGATGGGCAGCCCCCAGCTGCCTGGGTCTCCTGGGAGAGGTAGCACGGTGGCATGCTGGCTGCAATGCTGTGCCTGCAGCTTTTGAAGACCTCCTACATACTAGAAGGAGAGGGGCCCACTCTCCTTGGTGTCTCAAACATGCAACATGATTTTGAATATCAAAGAGAAGCAGACTCAAGACCCCAAAAGGAGAGCTAATGTCAAGGCGAGTCAAATGTTTGCAGGGTGTACCTGAAGCAGCAGCAACTGCTGCCTATTTTAAGACCCCAGCCCACAGAGAACCCTCCCAGGACCGTCTACTTATAGATCTTGGCCCAAGCTGAACCTTGTTCCAAGGATGTCCAGCAGCGCGGTAGGGGGTATGGACTTAGGAGCCAGACGTGCTCGAGTTCAAACACTTAACTAGCTACTACATGACCTTGAACAAATGACAAAAAGGCTTAACTGTAAAGTGGGATAATAAGCATTACCTTTGTAACTAATGATCATTGTAGAGATTCAGTAAGATAACACATGTAAACAAACGGAGGCACAGAAAGCATTCATTAAACATTAGCTACAGTTATTATTTCACTAACTCATGTGGCTGGCCCTGGTGTTGAGGAGGGAGAGGAATTTAGCTTATAAGTTACAGGTTTCCAAAAATACCACTAAAACAAGATTTTCACTGGCATGGTAGAATATAATGTCTGAGTTAAGCTGTAGAAACCTGGATTCTGCCCTTTTATTGCCATCACCTTGCTGTGTGACCTTAGGCAAGTCATTTCACATTTCCGAGCCTCGTTTTCTACACATATTCATGAAGGTTCAGCTCTAACCCTCAAGAATTGTTTGGTTCAACCCCACAGAATAATCACTGCACTTGAAAAAAGTGTCTTGAGCCAAAGGAAAGCTCCAGGAAAAAGGAAGGCAGTTCTATTGAGTCTCCGCTCAGGGACACATAAAAAGTAAGCGGAAGAGAAGTGGAGTGACAGGAGGTGATTACCAGGAATAACACTCTCTAGGACAATACACCTTAGTCTCTGGCCCAATCTTCTCCAGACTAAAGTCAAGAAGGCAGAATCTTGAAAACCCATGCACCTACTCTAAGACATGTGCAGAAGGGGGCAGCGGGAGAGCAAGGCATGCAGAAATCTACCAGCTAGAGCAAACCCTCACCCACTTCTGGGCTGTGTTCCCAGTCCAGTTCCAACGCCCTCTGCCATTTCTCCCTCCTTCCCCACTCCCCAACTGCAGGCTAGGAAGAGCCCACCCCAGAGTCCAAGTTTTGAAATTGGTCCGAGGATCAAAATGATAAATGTTTCCAAAACGTTGACATATGAAAAGTAAATATTTGGTTGCACAATTGGGGTTAAAACGAGGGTCAATCCACCCCACTCTCCAAGTGCCTCTCCTCTTGCTGCCAAGCCCAGGATCCGAGGCTGAGTGCGGTTTGTAAGATTATAGCGCTGGGTCTCATTTAAAGGGCTGTCAGCATTTCCATTCTCCGGCCCGTTTGGGGAGGCATTTATAACCGAGCCATAAAAAATTCACCGGGGCTGCAACTTGGCATCTCCGAGGCCGCGCTCCAGGCAGGGCGGGTTTTGCAAGCACCCACTCTGAATTGGTTCGGTTCCTCAGAAGTTAGACCTTCAGACACACTCTCAACTTTCCTCGCAAGGGCAGCCAGAGAGCGGCTGGCCCATTCTGATCTCCAAGCCGGTCACAGTCTCTCAGGCCCTCTCTCCTGTCTCCGTTCCCTGACGCCGCATCACCCTTCAGCTTTCTCCTTCGCCCCCTCTTTAATGAGCGCGGACCCCTTACCCTCACCCTAAGACCTCCCTGTCTGCAGTGTCATCTCTCCTCGCCTCCTGCCAGCATTCTCCTTGGAAGCTGTCAGCTGGCCCTGCGTCTGGCACTCTCACCCCTGGAGAGACACTGCTCTTTGCTCATCACAGGGGTCCTCGAGACCTCTCTCCCCAGACCTGCCCAAAGCCACAGACCCCCAACTCAGAGAGTGAAGGATCCGATGCAGGAGAGGGTGAAGGCAGAGACTGCAACTAGCGCGGCCAAGGAGAAGGAAGGATCTGGCGCCGGGGGGCCCCTCTGTGGGACCCAGGTGGGTGGCCCGGGTGAGGCAGGGCGGGGCGGGGGTACTCACAGGCGCTCGGCGTTGCGGGGGATGCCCCGGGGAACCGCCCGGAGGCCCAGCCCGTGGCAGTCCACGCTGGCGGCGGAGCAGGTACACTTGGTGGGGCAGGCGGCAGCGGGGGGGCCGCTCAGAACACTCGCCAGCGCGAAGGCCAGCACCAGGCGGGCGCGCACCGCGGCGCCTTCCTCCGTCCGCCCGGGGGCCATAGTGTTCAGGGGCCCGCGCCCGGAGGAGGTTGCCTCGGCGGGGCAAGACGCGTGGAGCCCACGGAGGTGCGCTGGGAGCACGGGCGGCCTGGGGAACTGGCGGCTGAGTTGGCGCGGAGGAGGAGCGAGCTCGGCGCTCAGGCGCACGGGGCGCGGGCGGAGCGGGGCGCGCCGGGCGGCGGCGGCGGCAGCAGCAGCAGCTCCATCGGCGGGGCCGGCGCTGCCCCGCTGCGCATCGCTCGGAGTGCCCAGGTGCCGAGCGCCCCCTGGCCCCGCTGGCCCGCGGCCCGGGGCGCGGGCCGGGTTGGGGACCTGGGGCGAGCGCAGGGAGGCACGGGCGCCCCGGGAGGTTCGGCTTGGAGCTGGGCTCGGGAGCGCGGCGGCGGTGGCGGCGGCTGAGGCACGGGGCGACCGGGTGAGCTGGCCGGCGCTCGCTCTCTCCATTCACTGAGCCGGGCAGACACCGGAGACGTGCGGCCCACCCCTCCCGCCCCCCAAAAACGCCAGCTCCGCCTCCCATTGGCTGCGCCGCGCGTCATGTCGACTAAGTTGGGAACTTTGCTGGAGCAAGCGAGAGCTCGAAGGGAGGAGGCAGCGGAGGAGGGAGCTCGGCCAGCAGGGCCCCAGAATTGAGGCTTACTCACTCTGGGGAGCCAAGGACTGATCAGGCTGGTGGCCCTGAGCTGGGCATGCTACTCAATATTCTTTCCTTCTGTCCCAACACCGTCCCGCAAGGGGGCATTTGAGTACCCCGACCTTATAGATAAAAACTCAAAGTTCAGAGAAGTGAAGTGACTTGCCTGGTCACAGCCACGAGGGACCGCAAACCGCGGCCCTCTCATTCCCCCATGTTTCACTTCACAGCCCATCAATGCCCATCAAGCTACCTCATCTACAAAGATCACACCTCATCTTGGCCAAGATCCACTTTTCCCCGAAGCAACTACTCTATCGACATTACTGCACTCCGCGGTCACAGATGTCACAGAAAATGGTCATCGGAGTGGTTCAGGTCGCTGCTGGTAAACCCTACCCGTAGGCCTGTCCTTCTTTGCCCAACCCCAATGCCTGCTGTGCTCTAAAAGTAGGGATGGCAGGGCCTTGGACCCCTGGACTGACAACGCCGTGTTCCTAGTCCTTGAGCTTCTGCCTCCTGACGAGGTGACTCTGGGTCAATCGTGTCACCACTGGGCTTTGATTTCCTCAAAACAAGGAGGCCACAGCCCTGTCTGGGCCCACCTCACTGGGCTGTTCAGAGCATCAAAGAAGAGAAAGTGTTTTTTTCAAAAGAGTCATTTGCATGCAAGGCATCCCTTCTGCCCCCAATGCCTTCCTCTTCCAGTGGCCGCTCAAAATTGGCCAGGTCTGAGCTTTTCCAGATGCTGTGGGGAGGGGCGTGTGTTAGAGGCTCCATAAATACTTGCAGGAATGATTCTGTTTGTTTGTTTGGAGGGAGAGGGCAGGAACTGGAGGAAGTATTGCCCAGACTTCCTTGAGGGCTGCTCACACTGGAAAAATCTGAATGAGCCCTGTACACACACACACACACACACACACCATCACAAATACCCACTTGTACACAAACATGCTTACACACTCACTCTTATACACATTCACACTCGATCACATATAACACATGTGCACATGCACGCTCACACACACGCTCACATACCCCGTGTCGTCGACAACAACTCCGCTCCTGAGAGTTCTTCCCTTTTCTTTCACATAAATGCTATTCTGATTCCTTCTACTTCATTTTCCTTTAAAGGAACTTTGAACTGCTTGGGCCACATCCTGTGAATATACAGTAGAGGTGCAGATTTTATTTTATTGTACTTAGCAGATTTTCAAAGTTTCAGCTGCAGGCACCCAACTGTACGTGCACACACACACACACACGCACACACTTCAGCCCCTCCATTATTCATAAACACATTAGGCGCAATTTACTGCTGTTATTCTCGGGAGCAGCTTTCAGTACAGATGCTGTTGTCATCGCCCTCTGGTGGTCATAGAGGGTCTAGGGGTGACTTCAGCATTTAAGAACTCTAAACATCCTTGCCTCTGAAGCTTTCCTCCAAACCTTGAACCAATTTAGTACCAGGACTGAGGCAGATGAGAGAACTGGGCAAAGGCCCAAGGGCACACAAGCGTCTCAGACTGTCTGGGGCAGAAAAGGGTAGGGTTTTCTTTGTTTTCCCAAATGCACACTAGAGCATGTTTTGCAATCCCTTCAGGCTGGGCCTGGATCTGGGCTGTAAGCACACTATATGTGTGTGTGTGTGTGTGTGTGTGTGTGTGTGTGTGTGTTGGGGTGATGTGGGTTGTTTTCCATTTAAGCTGCTGGGAGGAGGATACATGAACCTGACTAGATCTTTAAGTGACTTCACAGGCATTCAAGTTTGCTTTTCCCTGGGAGAGCCACCTTAGAACAGAGCCCAGAGTCAATCAACCCAAGGAAGGAGTAAATAGAAGAAACAGGAGGTGCACAGGACACTGGAAGCCCAGAATCATGGAGTGTTTGGGCTGGAACAACCTTAGACATCACCTAATCCAGCATCTCTGCAAGTGTCTTCTGATGATGGCTAGTTCCACATGTTTCTTCATGGGGGGGAAAAGCTTCCTTGGGCAAAAATAGAGTAAGAAGTGCTGTTCGCGTTCACCTCTCCTGGTGACTGCATCACAGATAAGTGTATTTAAGAGTCCTAAAATAAAGAAAGTGGCTTAAAGTTTGTTTAATTCAGTTCCCCAGTATCGCGGGTCATTTTACGTGTAAACTTAATACTCTTTTGGAATTTTTGGAGAACCCCCAATAAAATTCAACGCTTGTATTTAATAACATGGAAACTAAGTCTCAGAGAGGGGAGGGCACTGGTGCAAAGTCACCCAGCTGATCAATGAGAGAGCCAGAGCCAGAACCCAGGGCTCCCCATGCTTAGAATGGAGCTCCATCCACTGCCTGCCCTTCACTGATTCCAAGGAATCTGCAGAATGTGTCAGCCTCCCCATGGAAGAATTACTCTCCCTAGAGAGGTCTAAGTCCTTAGGAGGTCAGGCTATTGGGTAGGACTTTTTATGTCTAAGTTCCAGAGATGGCTTTTATACTCTGTGGTATGAGTTTCAGAGTTCTACACAAGTCTCCTGGGATTTTTGGATTTTTTTCCAAATTAAAGAAAAATGTTCCCTTTACTTTTCCATAGACGTCTCAGAAGCAAACTACCCACCCATTCCCCCAGGAAAAGTCACCTCAGACTTTACCTGTTTTTTGTCTCTCGGTGTAAGGCACCACCATTCACGTGGCCGCTGTAATCGCTTGAGGTTTTCTGGTTGCAGCAATAACTAACTAACTGAAGTAAAAAATATATATATGACTTTTTAAGCAGGCTTTTGGGTGGCATAAAAATTTAAGGAAAAATTGAAGAGGGAGGTTTCAAGAAAGACAAGAACCAAGGCAGGTACTAGGTGCCAAGCCTAAGATTTCCAGGTACCTAGGAGGAAAAGACTGCTTGGCCTGCTTACATCACGTGATCACCCTCTTGGCCAGAAAAGACAAGAACCCATGGGTGACGGTTCTTTGCAAACTACACTCAGCAGGGCAGGTAGGAGTGGTGCTCTCAGAGGAAAATCGGGGAGCTATTAGCTAAGAAAAGTAAGGGGAGGCAAAACAGCACCAAAGCATCTTCCCTCTGCCTCATACCACAGCCATTCAGTTCCTGAGTCCTGTTAATTCTTCCCCATGATTATCTTCTGAATATGTCCCCTCTTCATCTTTGGTCCTCCTGCCACTGTTCAGATCCTGTTTTCATACATGGCCGTTGTTCACATTGGTCCCCACATTAATTCTCTAACTTTGTTTTGCTCTACCAATCCATCTTTTGCTCTGATGATCAAGGGACCTTTCTAAAATGCAGATCTGACAGTGCAATCTTGAACTTTGAAATAGATTTCTGTCATTGCCACCTCATCTCCCACCACTCTCCCCACACCCACTCAATATCCCTCCTGTAACATCCTTTCCTGTTCTTTCCTATCTGGCTCCCCCAGAGTCAGTTTAGCTGTCAATTTCTCTAGGAAACCTTGCTGGACCAGGCTATTAGATTCTCTAGGGCAGTCACCATATATAATCCATTTGTTACAACATTTTATTATAAAATTTTTCAAACATTCAGAGACATCTAATCCACTTTTGCATGCTTGATGCCTAGAGGTACAAATAAATCTTTGACATTTGATGAATGAATAAATGAACAAATCCATGAATGAATGATCGTCCCAATCAGCTAGCATATTTGATAGTCTTTTGTTGTAGTTTTGCTTACTTTGATCAACATTGCTTGATCTTTGGGAGAGAAAGAGGTTACATTCTTTCAGAATTTCTGGGAGGGTTTTTTGCTAACTATATACACTCTCTCTTTATGATATGTTTTCTCCTACCCCACTGAAACTTAGCATTTATGCTGGTCATTCTCTAATGGATTGCCCAGATCACTCTCTGCCCACTGTCACCCGGTTCGATTCCCAAGGAGGCTGACCTTAATGGACTGTATCACCTGCACTTCCTTGGGTCTGGTCATGTGGGGAACTAGCAGGATATCTGAGAGCTGGAGGAGGGAGGCCAGGGCTTCCTCCACAAGGGCTTCAGTTTGGCAGTGGCTGCCTTCCTCAACTGAAGGTCATAATTCATGTCCTCTAGACCTCCTAATCCCATCCCCTTGCCTCTTTGGGGGCAGGAGTAAGAACAGCTTCCTCTTATGCGAAACCTGGCAGTCCCCATCCCTTGTTGATTCCTTAACCTTTGCCTCATCTTTCTAAATAGTCCCCTTATTAAACTTTCTGCAGTTACTCCTTTGAGTTGTGTCACCCATTTCCAACCAGGGACCCTGAAACTAACACACTACTCGCTGAGCCAGTAAAGCGGATCTCTAAGGAGTAGTTGAAAAGGGAGGGGAGGGAGAGATGATGAAAACTCCAATTTGAGATTAAGACTGTGGTCCCTATTAAATGCTCCTGGGAGAGAGAACAACGCATGTATGTGAATTTTAGGTCCTTTCTGGAGAACAGGTTTAGGGAAAGGTACCATCAATCAG